GATCGCGCTTGATGGGAGTTTGGACGGCGACGGGGGGAGGCAGGAGGCGGGGACGCTTCTGAGGGTTGCCCGAGCTAGCCCTACGGCTCAAGAGCGAAGGCGGAGTCGCCCCCCCCCTCCACGGGCAGCCTGGGCGTCTCCACCGCCCCGCTTTCCCCTCGACGGGTTAAAGTTAGACGCCAGCCCGGGAGCGCCCGCCTTCTTCAACCATGCACGCTTGGGAGCGTCGGGTCTCCTTCCCCCAGACGTGGCCAAGGGGGTCGGGGGATCCTTGTAGGCTGAACCTTGAGGGGGGAGAGCAGCGGCGCCTCGCCCGGACGCTTTGGCCCGTTTCAGGGATGCGGGCGCGCGTCTGGCTAGCAACAATGAAGGCGAGAAAAAAGACCCTTCCCCCCAAAAATCCTGAACAGGTGCGCTTGCAACCTAGTATTGGGCACTGCCCCTGTATGGATTGCAGATGGGAATGAGGCGCCTGTGCTGGTTATGGGGCAAGGAAGGAGCTCCTGGGGGCCGGTGGGCTCCGCTATTCGGGGCGAGGCCGACCGGCAGTGTTGAACGAGAAGATCTGGTCCTGGGGACCCCCCTCGACGCGCGCTCCTTCCTTCGCCCAATGCGGAGAGATGGCTTAATTTTCTCCAGCCGGGAAGCTGCAGAGCCACGCGCGGCCGGCAGATGGCGCTCTAGTAACAGGGACGGAGAACCGCCAGCCGCAGGTTGCATCGCTCCTCGCGAGGGAAGTCTCAGCCTTTTTACCTCGACTCTGCGGTTGAGCCAATTTAGTGGCACGCCTCTCTTCTCTTCTCTCCCCCACCCCGCAAAAAAAGAGAGCTAAGAAAAGGATTTCTCAAACGTGTAACTACAAATTCTAGCAGCCGCACGAGCTCACTTTGCTCTGGAAGAATTCAAAGAGTGTTGCTCGCCTCCCTGGGACGCTTGAAATCAGGTCAAACCGCTGGGTGCCTCTGGCATCGAGCCGGTTTACACGTGCGTCTCTGGGTGACTGCAGCGTCAAGCGGTGGCCAGTATCTCAGGTCAAATTCCACTGGCAGAAACTTCCCCGCTGCTTTGCCTCACTTGCAAAGGGATGTTTCTCCCCAGATTGGAGTCCGTTCACACGTTCAGCTGTAAGAACAAAAGAAGAACCTGCAGGATCTGGGCCAATAGCCCATCTAGTCCAGTATCCTGTTCTCAGAGTGGCCAGCCGGATGCCTGTGGGAAACTCGCAAGCAGGATTCGAACACAAGACCTCTCTTTCCCCCCTGTGGTTTCCAGCAACTGGTGTTCAGAAACATCGCTGTCTCCAACTGCAAAGGCAGGGCATAGCCATCATGGCTGGTAGCCACTGATAGCCTGTGGTGGGGAGAGAAATCAAGCACGTGTGAATGGTTCAGCCAGAAACCAGAGAAGCTTTACAGAGAGGTGACGTTCAGCTTCCTGGTCAGTGCTCAAAACTGCAAACATGATGTGTGCAGGGGACACACTTGGGGCAAACTCTTAACCCCATATGCATTCATTAAAAATGGCTCCCATGCATAAGAAGGGAACCTGTGGCACTGCAGATGCTGCTGAACTGCAGTTCCCATCATCCCTGACCAATTTCCATGCTGGCAGGGGCTGATGGGAGTTGTAGTCCACACCATCTTGGTGGCACCACATTGGCCATGCTTGGTGTAACTTAACGGGAGTAAAATCAGGTCATGAGCTCTTGCTATCAGAAAGTTCTTCCTGATGTTGAGTCGGAACCTCCTTTCTTGTGACTTGAAGCCACTGGTTCGAGTCCTACCCTGCAGAGCAGGAGAAAACAAGCTTGCTCCAACTTCCATGAGACAGCCCTTTAGAGATTCGAAGATGGCTATCATATCTCCTCTTTTCCAGGTTAAACATACCCAGCTTCCTCAACGGCTCCTCATAAGGCTTGGTTTCCAGACCCTTGATCAGATTGGTTGCCCTCCTCTGCACATGTTCCAGCTTGTCAATATCCTTCATAAATTGTGGTGCCCAGAACTGGACACAGTATTCCAGGTGTGGTCTGACCAAGGCAGAATAGAGTGACTTTATGACTTCCCTTGGCCTAGGCACCAGACTTCTGTTGATGCAGCCTAGAATAGCATTAGCTGCAATGAACCGCGGAGGCCCTTTCAACTCTATGACTCTATGAGATGGAACTTTGAACATAAGTAGTGTCTGCTGGATCAGGCCCATGGCCCAGCTAAGTCCAACATCCTGGTCTCATCCTGGCCAACCAGATGATCTCTGGGGAGCTCACAAGCAGGACCCAGGGCATTGTTAAAGCTTGGCTCATCACATAGGCTCCCCATGCAGAAAATCTGGCAGAACCGTTTTTCTTTTAAGGGTGGATTTCAAAACAAAACAATAGGAAACAGCAGCTGACTAGGCAATTAGTTCACTATGCTAATTTCTACAGCTGCCAGGTCAGGGCTCCTCTGTAGAAATCATCTCCATCAATTCATTTGCGAGGAGAAGGGGGGGGGCAGGCAGAGAGAACAGGCAGACCTCGCAAGGAGTCAGTTTGGCAATGGAGACTCGGTGCTGTAAGGAGGAGAGGTGCAAGGCTGTGTGTGGCTCAGGCATCCTATTGCAAAGGGTCCTGAAGACCACAGTGAGAATAGAATATTGGGCTAGAAGGGCTGCTGTCCTGATCCACCTCCTTCTCATTGGCTTATGCTTAGCCAATGGCCACCCTAACTCACTTTACTTTTGAGCAAGCTTGAAATCAGTCAGAGGCAGCCCCAGTGGGTAAGAAGACCAAAGGCGGACTCTCCTGACAGCCTGAAATCACTCATCTGAAGTTTTCTTTTTAAGACGATGAATGCAGTTGGTAAAAGTTCCTTTCAAAACCAAAGGAAGTCCTACATATCTACCACGGAACATTTATTTATTAAATTTGTCAGCCCTTTTTGGGGGGCAAGTGCAACCCCAAAGCCTTGTTGCGGTGCACTGGCCGATTCTGTTGGGTCTCACAACAACCCTGTGAGGTAGGTTAGGAGAAAAGGTTGCAACTGGTTGTAAAGTCTCACGGTGAGCTTCGTGGCTGAAAGGTCCCAGGCCGACGCCTTGACCCATTACACTGACCCGGCTCATTAAGGCTCTTTAAGGTGGGGGCGGGGAGGGCACAAAACAGTTTCTTCCAAGCTGTATTCCTTGGAAGGTCCAGGGCCAGGGGATAGGCTTGCCAGGAAGATGGTTTTTCCACAGTTGCTGGGGTTGGGACAGATCTCCCCACCCACCCACGCCCCGCTGCAGAGTACAGCCACGTTTTGAAGAAAAAGACAGTCAGAATATTTGTCCACGTAGTGACATTCAATAGTTCTCCAAGGTCTCAGGCAGAGAAGGGCTTTTCCTGCCACTATCTGACCCTTTTAACTAGAGATTGGATCTAAGATTTGTGCGTGTAAAAAATGGCGGAGGAACCAAGGCCTTCTAATTATTATTATTATTATTTTATTTATTTCCCTCCAAGGAGCTGAAAGGTGGCATGCATTGTTCTCCACCCCCCATAACCCCCCCATTTTATCCTCACCAAAAAACCTGTGAGGTAGGTTAGCCAGAGGGTGAGTGACTGGCCCAAGGGCACCCAGCGAACCTCATGACTGAGCGGGGATTTGACCGGCGGTTTCCCCAGCTCCCAGTTGGACGCTCTAACCACTACACCATGCTGCCCGGGACCATGCTTTCCTCCTTCCATCCGCTCCAGATGGCGCAGGCAATTGGCAAGGGATGGTGGGACTTGCACTCCAGCAACATCTGGAAGGATGCCAGTTCCCCATGCTTGATGTAAAACATCTGCTCTTCCACCGAACACGGGATGATGCCTGATACGCAGTCCGATGATGGGTGCTTTTTGCCTCCCTGTACCCTTTACTGCATTTTTATTTATGTATCCATTTATTTAAAAAAGGTGCAATAAATAAATAAATTTATTAATAAATATATTAATGGGTTGCGCTCAAGCGAGGGACCGGCCATGAAAAGAGGAGACTGAGAGGAGATATGATAGCCATCTTCAAATATCTTAAAGGAAGATGGAGCAAGCTTGTTTTCTCCTGCTCTGGAGGGTAGGACCAGAACCAATGGCTTTGAGTTACAAGGAAGGAGATTCCAACTAAACATCAGGAAGAACTTTCTGACAGTAAGAGCTGTTTGGCTGTGGACTCTCCTTGCTTGGGGGTTTTTAAACAGAGGTTGGGTGGCCATCTGTTAGGAATTCTTTAGCTGAGATTCCTGCATTGCAGGGAGTTGGATTAGATAACTCTTCCAACTCTACAATTCCATGATTCTATGACACTACCTGTGGAATCAGGGCCATCCCATCCATTCTGCCGGGGTCATCAGCAGATGCCTTTCACTAAAGCCATCTTGTTTCCAGGATTGTGGACTGCAGCTGCCAGTCTAGAAAGGAGGCTGTTGTATACATCTCGAGGCAGCAAACCCAATTGGCTGCTGCGTTACACTCGACAGGGAGCGGCAGCCAATCCTGGCTCTCCGGTGAGAATAATGGGATGGTGCGTGACTTTGCAAAGACCTCGACTCTCATTCATGTAGATCAGGGCTGGGAAACCAACCTTTGCCCCTCTGGATTTCGCTGTACTACAACTCCCATCAGCCCTAGCAAGCATGACCAGGGATGATGGGAGTTGCAGTTCAGCAAAGATCTGGAGAGGCCAAAAGTTCCCTTACACATACTCTTAAAATCTAAGAGCAAAGTTTGATGCTTCCCATACAGTCCAATTCTAAGTGGGTTTACTCAGAAGTAAGTCTCATCAGTTTTAGGTATTTCTTTATTGCATCTGCATCCCACCTTTATCTCCAAGGAGCCCAAGTTGGCATATATGGGTCTTCCTCTCCTCACTGAATTCCAACGATAGGTTTGGCTGACAAGCATTGATTTCTAAGGTCACCCAGTGAGCTCCACAGCCGAGTGGCGATCTGAACCCACATCCCAGTCTGACACTATAATCACTATACCACACTGACTCCCAAAGAGGAAAAGCCTGCGGAACCCATGAGGTCTCCCATCCAGGTTCTAACCAGGCCTGACCCTGCTTAGCTTCCGAGAGCAGCCAAGATCAGGCATGTTCAGGGTAGTACTGCTGTGATTCTATAGGACTTGCTTCCAAGTAAAGTATGGAAGAGTGCAGCTTTCGTGGGGGACAAAATGCCAGAGAGTGAATTGCTCTGAGGCTGGCGGCTGCATCTCTTTCTTCAGAATGACTTATTGGCAAAAAGGGGGGGGGGAGGTTGACTGGCCCCCACTTACTCTTTTTAGGTGTGTTTAGCAACTGGGGAAAGGGGTAGACCCTAAGACACATTGTTGATGGCTGGGCTGGAAGTTTGCAGGGGCCGGGACTCAATGGGAAAGACCCTACCTCCTGCTAAAGGTAGCAGTGCTAGCATCAACACACCTCCCAATGGAACTGCTTTAAACACTTTCTGACCTGCTGAAACAAAGGATGGGGATCTTCAGGCCTGGGGGGGATGTCAAACGTGGACTCCTGAGTCTATCCAGCCCCTTGGAATGCTCCCCAGTCACACCCCATCTCCCCGGGACACACCCTGCATGGGCTTGCTCCACACCCTAATTGGGCTACTTGAAATGGGCCCTTGCTTTCTTGGGTGGAAGTAGAGAGAGAGGGATGTGTTGAATTTGTGCTCAGGCCTAGAGCTTGCCGATCAGAAGGTTGGCGGTTTGAATCCCCGCGACGGGGTGAGCTCCCGTTACTCGGTCCCTGCTCCTGCCCACCTAGAAGTTCGAAAGCATGTCAAAGTGCAACTAGATAAATAGGTACTGCTCCGGCGGGAAGGTAAACGGCATTTCCATGCACTGCCCTGGTTTCGCCAGAAGTGGCTTAGTCATGCTGGCCACATGACCCGGAAGCTGTCTGAGGACAAACGCCGGCTCCCTCGGCCAATAAAGCGAGATGAGCGCCGCAACCCCAGAGTCGTCCGCGACTGGACCTAACGGTCAGGGGTACCTTTACCTTTTTTATCAGCTTACCGCATACAGGCGAAACGTCTGTGTGTCACTCTGCCTGTTTTGCCTATGGTCTCCAGAAGCGTATATGGCCCCTGAGCTGAGAGAGGCCCCCTGCCCCCTGCGCTAAGCTGAATGCAAATGATTGAACAAATCTTGCTTTGGGGCTTCAGAAGTGGACATGAGCTCTTGACAGCCACCCAGGAGGCCATGATCTGGGACTGGTGGGCCGCAAGGTGGTTCTACAGGGCAAATGCAAGGGTAGGGCAGCCGTGTTCGTGGCCATCACAGAATTCGGGTGTGTAAACACACCGTGCACACAAGCTGGGGCAGCTGTCTGGGCTTGCATGCCTCCCCTCTTTTGACATGCTCACAACTGCAGTTAATACTGGTGCGTATGTGGCAAACAACACCATTGTGTGTATAGTAATAATAATAATTATTAATAATAATTTATTTATACCCCGTCCATCTGGCTGAGTTTCCCTGGCCACTCTAGGCAGTTCCCAACAGAATAATAATAATAATAATGTGATAAATACATCAAACATTAAAATTTTCTCTAAACAGGGCTGACTTCAGATGTCTTCTAGAAGTCAGATAGTTGTTTATTTCCTTGACATCTGTTGGGAGGGCGTTCCACAGGTGGGCGCCACTACCAAGAAGGCCCTCTGCCTGGTTCCTTGTAACTTGACTTCTCGCAAGGAGGGAACCACCTGAAGGCCCTCGGAGCTGAATGATGGGGGTGGAGATGCTCCTTCAGGTATACTGGACCAAGGCCATTTAGGGCCATTTAGGGCTTTAAAGGTCAGCATCAATACATTGAATTGTGCTCGGAAATGTACTGGGAAGGCAATGTAGGTCTCACAATGTATTGGAACAAAAATATTGAAAGGTTGGTGCCGGCTAGAGTAGGTTAATGATTTGGATCAGTGTGGGCAGCTTCTTCCTGACCAGGGGATGCTAACTGTTCTGGATCAATGAATCTGATCTTGTCTACATGGATATGAGCTGTCTAACCTAATAACCTTAACCCAGCAGTATCAGACCCAGGGTCTATCTTACCCAGTATCCTGTTTCCAACAGTGGCTAGCCAGATACTTCCAGCACCCAGAAATAGACTACCTCTGAACATGGATGCTCCATTTAGTTCTCATGGATAATAGCTGTTGACAGGCAAATCTTCTGTGGATTTGTCTCTGTGTCTTTTTTATGTCCTGGGAGGCAGGCAGTGGTTTCTCTTTTGCTGGAGGTATTTAAGCAGGGGCCAAATGGCTGCCAATTAGGGTTGGCACGGTACTTGGACCCTCCGTTATAAGGGCTGGACTAGATGACCACAAAGCCCCCTTCCAGCTCTGCAGTTCTAATTCTCCTAAGCTAGTGGCTGTCACTACATTGCCCTCCAAACATCCTGATACCATATTGCGGTACTACAGATGCTGCTCATACAAGAGAGGGGCCCTTTCGACTCTCAGCTTTGCATTGGAGGGAGAAGCTGGGAGTCACCAGTTGCATACTTTTACGCTATGGCTCATTGACTGAAGAAACACAGAATTGTAGAGACGGAAGGGACCACGAGGGTCATTTAGTCCAACCCCCTGCAATGCAGGAATTTATTTATTTTTGCCTAATGTGGGGCTCGAACTCACAACCCAGAGATTAAGAGTCTTGTGCTCTACTGGCTGAGCTATCCCAGTGACTTCCCACTTTTGAGAATCCTTATTCAGAGAGAGAGGAAGAGAGAAACAAAAAACACACTCTGGAACAAGCCTCCTCAGCTCCACTCCAGCTTTTATTTGGGCGTTCAAAAGCTACAATGAGGTCCAGACCCTACCATTAGGCAAAACAGACAATTGCCTCAGAGGACAGTAGCAGTTCCGCGCTGCTTTTCTTGTGCCCTTGATAATCCCCTTCTGTTTCCACATGGCTTTTCCTGGACCCCCTAATCTGGTCTGCCGCCTCAGAGGAGACTATTCTACCAGCAATATTATGCCAAGATTCAGCTGCAAGTCCAGTTAACATTTGTATGGAGAACTGTGTGGGGAAGGCGCAACATCTTATCCTTTGCCTCAGGCGGCAAAATGTCTTGGGTCCACAACCTAAGCCTATACATTCCAAAGCCCGCTACTGTGACCTTTTGGATAAGCATTGATCAGCAATGCAGTCACAAACCGTTTTTAAACGACATGTACATATAGGCGTTGAACTGTCTGCCAATAATGGGGCAGGCTTTGGCCTAGATGACTTGGGGGTTGCAGACCTATGCCTGACCCATGCTTCCCATACAATATAAGGCAAACAAATCACATATAGGACAATGGGATATGTCTATGTGTGAGACCAATGTTCAATTTTAAGTGCCTGGGCAGCCCAAGACCTCCATACACACTGTCCATGTTTGGACCCACGAGAGGTTGCTTTGGTTTCTGCAAACACATTAAAAACGTGGGAGGCAGCAAATGCATTTTTTAAATAAAAAAGTAGTTATATTCATAGCAGCGTGCAAGGCACCTTTACTTATCTACCTATATATGTGTGTACACATCCATCTATAGTTCCCTTCTGCACTTATAAACAAAAGTACCGTATTATTTGCACCATAACACTCACTTTTTTCCTCCTATAAAGTAAGGGGAAATGTCTGTGCGTGTTATGGAGGGAATGCCTACGGGTGGCATGCCTACGGATTTTCCTCCTCTAAAAACTACGTGCGTGTTATGGTCGGGTGCGTGTTATAGAGCGAAAAATACGGTAATTTGTGAAATATTAAAACTCTAGCAGAGTCCATAGGGTGTGTGCAAATTCGTGTGCATCCTCCGCCCCTTCCTTGATTTTAAAGCCAGCCATCACGCTGCTTACCCCAATGGAAGCCCCCAATAAATCCGGCGTAAAAGCAACAAAGTATGCAGCCAAACCTTTAAACGTGGGCCTTCTTAAAAGCAACCCCAGCACCCCAAACTAGATTGACTCGCCTCGGTTTGGAAGCCAGGAAAGTGCCGAAGGAGGTTTAACTCGCAAGCTTGCTAACCTAAGCCATTCCTCTCTCCTCCTAACACTCCTCCCGGTTTCCACGTGCTCCGCTTGCCCATGAACTCAGTAGTATCCCGTTTCTTGGGAAGCTGGGGTGGGGGATGAAGGGGGGTTAAGTCCCTCCCTCCTCCTCTCCCTCCCCTTTGATGCCGTCTCCTCCCCTTCTGAGCTCGCTCCCGGGCTGCTGCTTTAACTTTGCAACCCTAAACTTTCCTCGCTGCTTTTGCCACTATGGGAGGAAACATCACGTAGCGAGCAACAGGAGTCGGAGCGGAGAGAGTTTTGCAACAGAGTTTTTCTTAAGCAGTGCACGACTTTATTTCGCTTGCACAAAAAAGTGTGTGTGTAGGGGGGGGGGGAGAGACAGTCAGTAGCAAAAGAGGGCGGAGGAGAAGCGAGGCTCCGTTTCTGCAACAGGAATCCTCTGTCCCGGGACGACTTCTTTTTAATTTTGGTTCGCGATGGGCACGCAGCAGGAGAGTTCGGGGTCGGGAGGCGTCTGCACCCCGCCGGCATTCTCCTTGTAACTGGGGATCCGCTTGTCTGCAGAGCCCGGGAGAAAGCTGCGCGCTCCCTGGACCGGGCTGTAACATGCCAGTGCTGGGGGTAAGTGCATTTGTGAGTGCGATCTCTCCTTTCCCGATGGAGTCGTTGTTTGCAGCAACTGGGACCCAGCTCGATGCTCCCCCGGAGAGATCTCGCCGGCCTTGCACGACTGGAAGTTTGCCCCTTTCCCCGTGCCCGGAGCGGAATTTTGCAATGCGCTTTTTGCAAGAGAGAGAGAGATAGAATGAGGAAAAGGGGACCCGCTCCCTTTTTACGCAGCGCCCGCCCAGGGCAGCCTCCTGATCGCGTCTCCCGCTTTCCTCTCTCCCACAGGTGGCCGAGGGGAGCCCCCTGCGCGAACCGGCGCCCCTCTCCTTGGAGCTCCCGCCGCGGAAGAGGCTCCTGCAGCCCGCCGCCCCCGAAGACCGCTGCGGCAGCCGCCCCGCTCCGGAGGGCGCCGGAGCCGCCTCGGGGGGCGAGCTGGGCCACTTCGAGAGAGCGGCCAAAGGAGGATGGTGCCGAAGCTGCCAAGCCAAGCTGGCCGAGC